TATGTGCGGTTTATACTTGTCTGACCAAGTGGAATATGTATTAGTAGTGCAGTCACTGCCTCAAAGATTTAAACAAATTGTTTATTAGCATAGCTCCTCAATGGGTGAGCACGTTGTGTTAAAATAGCTTTTTGTATTCAATTACATTGCACTGTTCAGTTGTTCTTATACTTGTGGCGCGTTCTTTGATAGATAAACGCGGTTTGTACGTGGTTTCTTTCTTAACTCTAGGAGTTATCATGCTGAGATATTCTCGTTTAGTTTTACTGGATGAAAACATCAACAAATTTGGGCTAAATTTTGTGCTCTTCATTATCAAAGATTCGAGTTTTCTAGTATGTAGAGGAATTTGTTTTGGTTGTATAGTTACTTTGCTTTTGATGATTAAATTTTTAGCTTCACAATGTCCAAATCCTGGGAGGACCTTAATCTTATTTCCGAGTGCTTGCAGGGTATCAATCATCTGGGCTTTGAGCGTCCTTTACCTATCCAATCTACTGTTGTGCCTCTCCTTCTAAGTCGCAAAGACGTTGCTGCTGAGGCGGTCACGGGGTCTGGCAAGACTCTTGCCTTCATCATACCAGTTTTAGAAATTCTTGCAAAGCGCAAAGGTTCATGGAAGACGCATGAGGCAGGTTTTTTTGCCTTTCCTTGGGCACTCGTAACTGACGTTTTATGCATAATACCTCTTGTTGAGCCCAGCATCCTAACAGGGCCGTTTGTCCTTAAATATTTTATGAACAAGTCTCCGGAGTGTGATGACATTCTAATTGATCAAATTATTGACAATCATGTTGTCTTAGTTACCATGAGGTCAATTCCTCCCAGGGACTTTTATGGCCAAGGAAATTGATTGGTAAGCACTGGCAAAAGGAGCAAGTGTTCGAATAAACTAACGCATTGAACTCTATTTTCCTCCAAATTTCTTCACATTGATACTTGAATGTGTAAAAGGTAGAATCGGCGAGACTCAAACTTTTGCTTAGTCGTTTATTGTAGCCAAATGAGAATTTGCTCTTTCCGATCGTTAACTGCATGGTAAAGACTTTTTCGTAGGCTTACCTAATCTTGAAATGGTCCTGTCCTGCTGTTTACGGTCCGTACTTCATGCTTTGTCACATTCCAAGTCCTTTTCTATTCGAATTCGCAGATTGGCGCATTGATA